CCACTTTCGCACTATCGCTGACGGTTTGCTCATATATGCTTCGAATTTCAGAACTTTATCCTTAGCGGAGATGTTGAGAACGATCCTCGAGTACACGTTTTCGAAGCGCAAGGTGTGCGATGGAAGCGCCTGAGAACTATTTCTACTCCAGCCTTTTCGTCGACTTCTCTAAAGAAGGTTTGTACTATTCCAAAAAAAAAACGCTACATTTCTGGCTACGAGCCTAACGAGAAAGGATGATTCCGGGTTTAAGTGAACACACATTGAGGAATCAACATAGGGGTACTTCCGGCTTCGATCAATCTCTTCTGGGATCTATTTCTATTTAATAACTGTATGGTGTTTGAATGCAATGTGGTCTTTACAGGGGAGGGGGCAATAGGACACTTTGCTCGACTTTCAAGGCGAAATAAGTTACCTTTATTGAATTCTGATTGGACATTTCCACCGTCAATTAACACATTGTACACTATCACGATACTCCGCCACAGCCTTCTGGACGAGCGCCATCGAGAGATTCTGCCACGCGACCGTGATTCGGTACCTGAGTTCAGCGAGGTCGTTGATTTCTCCGCCACTGTAGACCACCCTGTTGAGCTCCGCCCGAACCGGTAATGAGGGGTTAGGCAGGTGACACTTGGATAATCCGTTGTTCAAAAATAGAATTGCCGTGTGTTTGTTGACTTATTGAAGAAGAAGGAAGCACGAAAAAGCGCCCGGAATAAGACCCTCTTTATTGCAATTGATCATGATCACCGGACGAGCGTAAGGTGGTCAAGATCAATTGTGAATTGCGAAAGGCGGCGATACACTGATAAGAGACGAGAGAGAGGCCAGAAAACGAGAACAATGGAGATCTGAATCAATCCAGTTTACCCAGTTCTGCGGAAATCCCACGTCCACGTGAATGAGGCGGGAGTATTCCATGAAACTTTTGGGTTTATCTTGGAAGTGAACAAAAACAGCGAAGCCTTACCAGCTTCTGCAGTGAATTCTAGTCTTTCTTCAATTGTTTTGGCGTATAAACGCCCTAGCATTTATGCGCATTCTTTGAAAATAGGGAAAAACTGCTTGGTCCCACGCGGCAGACACGCGAAAAGGCGCCTTGTCGCCAATGTGTAGAAAGAATTCAGAATTTCGAGTGTTGACTATCTACCTAAAGCAAGTAGCAATATAAGTCCCAAAAACATCAGATTCATACTCGCCCATTGAGGAGAATTCGTGCGCCTCTGAGCAGCGCTCGTGCCACCCTTTTCCAAGAAGCCCCACCTTTGACCTTATAGCGCCCAGATGACCACAAATTCCCGAGCAATGCTCTTGCTCGTATCGCCTCTTTTGTGAAGTACATATGAAGCGAAGGGACTTGAACTGTTTAATCATTCAAGCATTGTTTTTAGTATTCTCTTCTCATTTGCTTCTTCAGTGTATAATTTTCTTCAGGTACTGAGTTGTGCTTCAATTATCAAATGATCCAGTACAACCTCGGGTGTCCCTTACCCGATTGCAAATGTGGCGCACCAAATTGCACAGGAACTCTGGGTGCGACAACCAACGCATCAGGTTTGCGTTCGCTGAAATGATTGCGAATGACTGAAATGATTTTTTTTTATAATCTTTTTATTTCTATTCAGCCCATGAAAAAACCGAAGTGGAGTCCAACTCAAGTGAAAATGGCACTAAAAAGCGAAAAAAGCGGTCGGGTAAAGCAGTCCTACCACAAGAACCACCCGAGAAGAAAACGAAATCGTGGTCTCGTAGAAGAGGCATCAAGGTCCGGTGTTTCAAGCCGTCCCATCCACTACAAGTAATCCTAAGAAGAACGGAGATGTAACGCTGAATGGACAGCTCAACAAACCAACTGTGACATTCCGTAAGGCATCGTCTTCTTCGAGATCTGAGGTGTGTATTTGTATGCACTTCTTATCTAGATCTGTGTGGGTTTTGATAATTTAAAAGTTTCAGAGAAAAGATCGAGATTCTCCGAATTCAGTACGACGGTCAAGAAATCGAAGACCGAAAAAAACATTGAACGGATTGAGAGGTACATTTTAGCTTCCTGTGACGGTTCACGCTCCTACCGATCTTTTGTTTTATTCTTGAGGCAACTAGTAATCTTAATATCCATTGATAATCTCAGATTTTTCTCGCCACGTTTCGCGCTTTATTTATTGCCCATAACTTTTTTCGTTGAATCTCGGCGTATCGGCGAGCGAGGGGGAGGGCGAGGAATATTCTTGCCACTTCCGTTGATTCTCATCGACGTGTGAGCATCAAGTGAACATTTAGAAGTCTTGTAAACCAAAGTATGAGCCAGCAAAGTGCAAAATGCCTTCCCCACCCCCCTTCCGCTTCTCCGAACTGCACTTGAATCGTTTTGTAATTCTTCAGAGCATGCGTCAGAAAACGCTGAAGTGACAGCCCCTGTGTTACTCACGAGAGCGCTTTTTGAAAGGAGAGGTAACCATTTTCGCTTGAACCCTTTTCTCTACAATTCAAATCTGGTGACTTTTAGGCGTTAGAAACACGTTCTACTTCTAGTGTATCGCCACCAAGAAGCAATGAGGTGATTGAAGGTACGCGAAAAACTTCTCGAGATTTCTTCTTCGTTCACTTTTTTTAACGTAGTCTCAAAGATTTACTTAAGTATAATGATATTAATACGACTAAAGTCCGCTTAAAATAATCAAACATCCAGATCAGGCAAGGAAGCTGGCGAAATAGGTAAATACAAAGAGCTTGCGCCAGGACTTTTAAAGCTGAAGTTGCGTAAGTCAACTGCTTGAATAATTACTTTACCGTCTGAGAAGTTGGTGGTGCGTCCTGTCGTGAAATCTGACTTGATTTCCAGTGACCTTACACGATTTCGGGTTTTTGGTTCAAGTTCTTAGTCACGGCCCAGAGTCCAGCAACAGTCCAGTGCCACTGAAGCGACTTATTTTCCGTACGTTTTTCCACTTACGAATAGCATCATTGGATGAAGAGTTCATACTGGCTTATAACACCGTGTGCTTGGCCGATGCGTTCGTCGCTGCATAAACTTCGTAATCCTCGTTAGACAGCGGTCACACTTCGCGATGACGCGCGTCGACGCGCTGTCATTGGAACCGCGCTCATTCGCTATAGACGGGAAGCAGCCACAGACGCGAACGATAAAACGGTGTCGACTGCCTGACTTGCTGAGGGAGTATAAGAAAATGGGATGGTGCGCGTTTGCCTAGTCACAGTGTATAGCCTCGTGTTCTCATGTGCCCTTCCCCAAAAGACTAGCGACGGCAGCGATCGATGCCAGACCGCGTGATTAGCGTGAATGAGCGCATGGTTTCTCTGGAGCGCTTTCGCTGTGACGCGTTCACCTTAGCTTAGGGGTCCAATCCTGTACCGGTTCCTGCCCAGCAAACCACCTTCTACCTGCGGAACGCGTGAATTTGCTACCAATTTGTTTTGAAAAGGTATGGAACTCTGACTTGAAAATAGCCCTCCGCAATCGCATCCAATAGGCCACTGCGGTTCTGAATGGAAGTAGAGTGCGTGCCGTATCCTACAAAGGGACTGACTAATTTTCCTTCATTTTTTCAAGGAACAATAGTCTCAAAATTTCCTTTCTTATTTTTGGTCCACAGTCAAAATATTTCAGGGTTGAAACGAACCCGACAAATAGCTGTGGAATTGTCTCCGTCAAATGTTATTGTGTAGTAATTTGAGCCATATATCTAGGGTTCCGCATGCAGTGTGGTTTTCAATTTGTTGATTTGTTAATTTCTAGGAATAAGCGTTGATTTATGATCATTTTTGGGGTTTTAGGTAAATTTTCGTTTAATTCATAGGGTTCCATGATTGACCTCTACCTCGATCCGCCTTCCTCCGGGTCGGACTTTCTCATTTTGATCCTGTCGTTTTTGATCCTCAGTCATTCTGCCGCCTAGTGTTTCTTCAACGCGTAATAATCGTTCGCTGCCATTTTTTTTCGTGAATGTAAAGAGTAGTGTGTGCCTGAGAATGGTTCAGTTTATTTTATTTGCCTCTGACGCGGGCAGCGAACTCCTTCATGAACGTTGTCGTTTTTCGTCGAAATTATCTGTGTCATGATATACTCTTGTACAACCGGTAATTTGATGTTGACAGCGATCTCACATAGGTTGCGCTTGCTGATTCCTGCCTATGTTCTTTAACTTCCAATGTATGCAAGTCATAAATCTATTATATCCACTTTGACGTTTTGCGGTGCTAAGAAGGAGCATTATTTTTTTGATGTAGCATTCGGACTTAAAGGCAGTTGGCACGATGGTTTGCTACTCGGCCTAAAATGCTAGTAGTGGGAATATGGCGAAAGAACTGAGTGAAACGTTAAAATCATGCAAAGAAAAGGCCTCCGTTCTCAATGAGTTACAAATAAAATTCGGACGAGTTTCCCGCAGGCATCTTGCCAATAACCGCTACCGAAGATACGGCTGCATACGATAACCCATGTATGTACGTAAAGTTGTGGCTTGATAGGGCTCTTATAAGGGCACCTTCCTTGGAGAAGCCGCTATGCAGCGCCTGCTCAGAGCCACTGGATTCCGTCCCCAGGCGTGATCGATCCTTAGTCCTTGGAAATTTACCGTGCCAACGGCCCTTAAAGAGCCGCCCAACATTCATATGATGTTTGAGGCCCGCCTTCTCGCGAACATTGTTAGTCCTGCCTGCGGGCAGAGAATGCGACTTGCCTCTCGCAGCTCAAAAATACAGAAGGTGCGCGCACACCGCCCCGAGAGGCAAGGTTTTGCCTATGGCCAGGAGCGCCTAACATTCATTTTGGGCAATCGGCACGATAAATCTCCGAGGCTTGTAGGATTAATACGCGTAGCAGGAGAATTTGGCGCCCCTGAACAGGCGATGCCGTGTTGAGCGCCTATTTGCATGATGATTATCTTTATAGCCGCCCTATTAGTACTGCCAAAACCACTACCAGGAATGTCCCTTGCGCCCGTGCCGCCTCACAAAATGTCTGAAGAGTTGATATGAAGGGTTGCCGGTGACGACTGAGATAAATCTAGTCCGGAACTGACTTGCCTGAGCGCGTAGAACAAAGGCTTTTCGCAGGTTTTTGGCCGTTCCACTTTGCTCTTTCGCTACTTGCCCACTACATAGCATGCCTGCTACCATTTTAGACCAAGTACCTAGTTATCAAGCCTTGGGCACGCCGTCGCGTTGTGATTATTTCCTGAAAAATACGATCCCCCCTCCCCATACTACCTACTACTTCCTAGATTTTCCCAACTTCCTACCACTTTTTCCCGAAAAATTTCCAGATTTTCGGCCAAGAATTTTCCGTCGAGCGAGGGGGGATATATCCTATTGTGAAGGTCGTCAGGATTCTACTATCATTTTCAACTATCGGAAATAGTAGTTGTATAGATCTTTGGCAGTCTCTCAACAACGGCCAAACACGACCCTCGCACCCCTTTATACACCGTCCGTGCCACTAAGAGAAAACAGACTACCAAAAAAATTTCTGAGACGAAATCGAACCCCCCCCCTTCGCGGTCAAATACGTTTGCGATCATTACAACGATGACTGCTTGTGCGCGCGCATCTATGTGAATCTCCAAAGGTAACCATACGAAATAATTTTATCAAAGTATGCGATTTAATAGAAGGATAACCATGAAAACGTTTGGATGGTGCACCCTTTGTTAAGAATGTTTTAACATATATCTAAGTAAGTCTAGTTAGAGACACGATCTCCGTTGCAACTGAACGGTAACGGACTGCGGAGCGAATGTCGACGAACCTGTGAGCGTTAAGGTTTCCTGAAAGGAATAAGTGCGCTGTTCCAAATCGAAACGCATCTTTTCTAGTTTCAGAAAAAAAAAGTTCTTCACGAGTTATGCAGTAATTACCTCAGTATCGTTAGTCGCAACGATATTGTATCGTTGAAGAAGATGAGCGAGCACTAGCTTCTCCTCCATCAGGCCAGCCTCCATTCCTAGTTCACTCCTTGAGACCGAGCCCAAATGACAGAAAGCGGCCGGCTGACGGGTCAGACGTGCTCAAAGCCATCTGGAAAGATGATTTTTGAAAGCATCTGCTGCCACGGTGGAAAACCTTACAGGCAGTATGGAACATGTGTCCCATACCGGAAAATGAAATTTCATTAGTTACATGCTAATAAGTCATAGCTAGAATTTCGCTTTCAAATCTCTGCTTTCCTACCTAGCTGAAGTCTAGATTCAGGATTTCGACATTGAGGCTAGATCGGAACTGAGGGGTCACCTGAGGCAGAAATCTCGGCAATCGTCGCCCCAAATTTCGCGATTGAAGTGAAGTGAGAGGGTGTCGGCGCATACAAAGTCGCCCTCATAAACTGGTACGTCTCCAAGTGTGGTAGCTTTCATACAACGACGAGAGTTGGCGCTGAAATAAGGCTTATTTTGGAAATAACAGTTCATGAGTTTGGGAACAAAGAATATCATTATTAAAGTAGGTATCCTAGTTCTTACAAAGCTGCTAACGGATACATTCGCAGAGACTCCTTGATAACGACGTCGAGATATCTCAAGCTCCCCACCGTTCATAGTGATCGACCTGAAAAACTTATTCTGATCACATGAGTATCTAACTGTGCCCCCTTTCGCAAAAATGTACGGGAAACGTCGGGACGAGGCTTGCAGAGCAGTACCGTGGGGAAAGAAGGGGCGAGGGATTTTGCGAGTTTCGCTATTGCCAACAACGAGTTCATGTGTTTCAAGATGCTGGCAGGTATCTTTTGCAACAGTTTGCCAGAATGCCGTTTACAAACTTTGGGTATGCATTCATCAGCTTCACAAAATCCACAGCTTTCTTTTTGATGGCTTGATAAAACGTTGACGGCGAAGTGGCCAAAGAAAGAAAATGCTCCTCCTAAATCCCCCGTCCCTTCGCGCTGTACTGCGTAGCTGCGTACACTAGTTAGGCTTCAGACCGCGAAGCACTTTAGCAGTTGAACTTCTCTCCTTCATGCATTGCCTAGGCTACCTTCGTTATCGGATGTGGTGTGGAAGATCCATCTTGCGGCCATGAGCACAGACTTGCAGGGTGCTTTCTAAAAGCCCTATTGACTCGAAACATGTAGAACTCTTCGCAGTTCAAGAAATAAGATATGAAAAATTTGACCCAGGTCGAAGAGGTGCTCACCTAACACACTCGCAACGTCACCAACACGGCTTTCGCAGCGCAACATGGGCCTCTCAACGAACTTCAAACCAAGTTGGAGGCAATGGGCAAGATGGGTGGGGTGGCCGCTTATTGCAAAGTTACTGGTGGAAAAGTTGAGTGGGGTGTGGCCAAACGCCCTTTCGTAGCCCTCCGACCAATGACGTCGGCAGGTACCGCCCGCAGTTCAGCGATCGTGACCACTGTCATTGAGCAAGAAGGCTAGAAGAATGCTGGAGCTTCACATGACCTCACGATTTGCAATGCTTATTCAAGCTCCCTCTTGAAGATATCTTCTGAACATGAAGGGACGTATCTCGCTGGTTAGCAGCAGATAGGTAACAATGACTAATAGAGGTGGCAGTTGTATCGAAACCAGCCAGAAGAAACACGAAGCACTGAGCCGCGATTTCCTCCCTAGTTAAATGTTTTGACACCTGAAAAAACTTGAGGAAATGTGATATTTCCATTCAAAAAAAAAAACTGCAATAATGCTAAAAATTTACTTGGACTCCTGTCTTTGAGAACTCTGCCTTATTGTCGAACTCTTGTTCGGCTCTCGCGTCCAAAAATAGGTCTATGAAGTCTGTCGGCTCTGGTGATACTATACCTGCTGCGGTATTTCTGGCCTGAAGAAAGTAAAATCATGTTCTCTGGCGCTGGTCATTTCAGAGGGGTTGAGGCGGCTCTAGCCAGTTATACTCCAATCGCGGAAGCTGGGAAGGCCCACAATTACCGCTACGTCCGTCTGCTTACCCATCAATGTTATTCAACAAGAAACACGTCACTTTTCAAGAAGGCCCTTAGGAAAATAGATTTGATGACATTACTGGATATTAACGACTTTTAGAGAGAGTGCCATTTTAGTGCAGTTACAGATTCACCTAGGTTCAACTTGACAGAATCGAACTAATTATAGTCTTCTTTACACTGCTCTCACATGTTTGCTTCCATGTTCGTTGACTTTTTTGCTTTTAATTACATGAATGGTTTTTCTGCCTAAGTTCTCTCTCTTCTTTTATCTCTTACCCATACCTCACACCTTGGTCCACAATACAAACGCATATGATCATACTTCCCTGCATCAGAGGATCCTCTCGGATGCCTTGAGCACTAAAAGGCGCTCACGCTTACTATTACTTACTATAAAAAGAAAGATCAACAAGTGAACTGCCACCGTTTCATCTAGTTCACTGGGGTCTTACGCCTGACCTGGTTTGACAAACTGCTTTTTCCACAAAGCAAGTACTTTTTTGAATTTTTTCTTTTCTCAGTTGCAACATACAAGAAGATTGGATCTATAATTCAAATTACATCCGATATCATATATTGCAACCTTGCTTCTTTCACTTATCCTGATTTTGAACGTGGCCGGGCAAAGCCATCGTTGGCCACTCAAATTACGAACCACATTTAATTAAAACTGACCCTGGTGAATTGAGGTGTGAGTGGAACATCGAGTTCTCTTTCGGGTTCATCCTGGATGTGGAGCCACCTCTGACATCGCCTACTGCAATATG